TTCAAAGATTTGTAACAGAAGATGAAAGACGGCTTTGCCAGTACAATCTTGAAGACAAAGCATGATCAAAGCGTGGCTACAAAGAGGTAGAAGTGGTCCTGTTGGGTCTGGCATGGTGGCTCACGCCTGTAATCCCAGCACTTTGGGAGGCCGAGGTGGGCGGATCATGAGTCAGGAGTTCAAGACTAGCCTGACCAATATGGTGAAACCCTGTCTCTACTAAAAAACCCCGTCTCTACTAAAAATACAAAAATTAGCCAGGCGTGGTGGTGTGTGCCTGTAGTCCCAGCTATTCAAGAGGCTGAAGCAGGAGAGTCGCTTGAACCTGGAAAGGGGAAGGTTGTAGTGAGCCAAGATCTTGACACTGCACTCCAGCCTGGGCAACTGAGTGAGACTCCCTCTTAAAAAAAAAAGAAGTGGTCCTGTCAAAAAGAGCAAAAGTCGGCCGGGCGCGGTGGCTCACGCCTGTAATCCCAGCACTTTGGGAGGCCGAGGCGGGTGGATCACAAGGTCAAGAGATTGAGACCATCCTGGTCAACATGGTGAAACCCCATCTCTACTAAAAATACAAAAATTAGCTGGGCATGGTGGTGCGCATCTGTAGTCCCAGCTACTAGGGAGAATTGCCTAAACCCAGGAGGCGGAGGTTGCGGTGAGCCGAGATCACACCATTGCACTCCAGCCTGGGTAACAAGAGCGAAACTCTGTCTCAAAAAGGAAAAAAAGCAAAAGTCATGATGAAAACAGTTTTGGAGATGCTCAAGGTATTTTGCAGGTTGATTTTCTGGGGAGCCAGAGAACCATAACATCTGCTTATTAGGAAAATATTTTGAGACAGCCAAAGCTTTAGCAGAAAAATGCCCAGGAAACCCTCACTAGAGAATCCCTCTCTACCACAATGCTCCTGTTCATTTCTCTCATCAAACAAGGCCAATTTTGCAAGAGTTTTGGTAGGAAATCATCACACATCCGCTTTACAGTCATGATTTGGCTTTTCATGCCATCCTTTTGTTTTCTAATCAGAAAACATCTTCTAAAGGCACCCATTTTTCTTTAGGTAATAATGTAAAAAAGACTGCATTGACATGGCTAAATTCCCAGGACCCTCAGTGTTTTGGGGCTGAGCTACATGGCTGGTATCACTGCTCACAAAAGTGTCTTGAACTTGATGGAGCTTATGTTGAGAAATAAAGTTTATACTTTTTAATTCCATATTTCCATGAACTTTGTGAAATCCTCTTGTTCAAATAGATTTAGTTTGTAATTTTTAACTGCTCAGTAGTATTCCATCGCATGAATAGATCACATTTTTTTAGCGATTCCTTTCTCACTGGACAATTGTGTGGTTTTCTGGTTTTCACTACATGTTATAAACGACACTGAACTCAGGAGGCAAATATCCAGAAATGGAATTTCTGGCTTATAGGGTATGTTCATTCTTAAATTCAATAGATAATATCAAATTGTTTTTCGGAGTGGTTATACAAAATTCGCTGTCATGTGCACTTTATCAGTGCTCCCATTTCTTTACATTATCTTCCAGATACTGTGTTATCAGACATTAAAGTTTTAGGCAATGTGATAGGTGAAAATGTGTAGCTTATGATTTTTATTTTCATATTCTTTAGTATTAGCAATGTTAAACATTTCTTCATCTGTTCATTGGCCTGTATATTTCACCCTTTTTCTGAATTGTCTGTTTATATTTTTTGCTCACTTTTCTACTGAGTTATTTTTTTTTTCTTACTGATTTTAAATTTTTTTTTTTTTTTTTTTTTTTTTTGAGACAGAGTCTTGCTCTGTTGCTCAGGCTTGCAATCTCGGCTTACTACAATCTCTGCCTCCCAGGTTCAATGGATTCTCCTACCTCAGCCTCCTGAGTAGCTAGGACTACAGGTGTGTGCCATGGCACCCAGCTAATTTTTATATTTTTAGTGGAGACGAGGTTTCACCATGTTGACCAGGATGGTCTCGAACTCCTGACCTCGTGATCTGCCTGCCTCAGCCTCCCAAAATGCTGGGATTACAGGCATGAGCCACCATGCTCAGCCGAGTTTTAAATATTTTTAAAATATATTTTTGATACTACAGATTTGTCAAGACTGGTTGGAAATATTTCTTTGTAGCAGAAAAATGCTTTTTGTTTTCATCTATGACATCTTCTCTTGAACATACATTTTAAAATGTTGATGTGATCACATGATTTTTTCTTTATGAGTTTTATTTTATATGAAAATATCCTTTATTCCAAGGCCATAAAAATAAATTTCTATTTTTTGAAGCATTTTTATGAATTTGTTGTTTTATAGTTAGGATTTTAAACCTATAATTTATATTTTGTAAATGTGAGCTAGAGATCTAATCTTATTTTTTCATACAAAGAATCAGTTGTTCCAATTTATTTGCTGTTGGTCCATCTTCATTACATGCCGTCATAAATGATTGTCCACTGTGACCTAGGCTCTATATGAGGTTCTTTATAGTACACGGCTTTCCTTGTCTGTTTAACCTACCAACCCTACAAAGAAGGTGTTAGTATCATCCCTGTTTTTCTTATGGGAAAATGTAGGCTTATATGGTTTGGATGTTTTGTTCTCACCAAATTATATGTTGAGATAGATCTGCATTGTTGGAGGTAGACCTGGTGGGAGGTGTTTGGGTCATGAGGTGGATCCCTAGTGAATGGCTTGGTGCCCTCCCCATGGTCATGGGCGAGTTCTCGCTCTGCTAGTTCATGCAAGAGCTAGTAGTTTAAAGAGCTGACATCTCCTCCCTTGCTCTCTCACTCCTCTCTCGCCACCTTCCACCATGAGTGGAAGCTTCTTGGGGCCCTCACCAGAAGCAGATGCCAGTGCTATGTTTCCTGAACAGTCTGCAGAACTGTGAGCCAAAAGCAAGGTCTTTTTAAAAATAAATTACCAAGCCTTGGATGTTCCTTTATAGTAGTACAAATGGACTAACACAGAGGCTCAGAAAGGCTAAATAACTTGCCGAATGTATGAGAGCTAGCAAGCGATGGAGGCAGAATGTGAATCCTGGGTGTATACAGAATTAGCTAGAGAAGACAGCTCCATGAAGCAACAGGCTTGCAGGGATCCTTGAGGAACAGAACAGTTCGAGCAGGGTTTCTCAGCCTTGGTCTTTGGGACCGGCTAATTCTTTATATGGTCGAGGGTGGGGGCATCCTGTGCACCGTAAATTCTTAACAGCATCCCTGGTCTCCATTCATTAGACACCAGTGACAACTCCCACCCCACTCCCCACCTCGACTCCTAGTCTTTATTTTAATAAAAAATGTCTTCAGACATTGCCAAGTGTCCTCTAGGGAAGCAAAATTGCTCCAGGTTAGGAACCAGTCGTTTAGACAGTAATCACTATATTAATTATCACTATCAACCTCAATTATTAGCCATCATTAATGCTAATGATAGTTGTGCTAATTATCAACAGTGATTAATTTTAAGACTTTTTTCCCTGGTGCTGTTGCTTCTTTGTACCTGAGGAACAGAAGTTTCTAGCTTTCCAGTTATACCTTCTCAGCACACTGCTATTCCAACCTGTGAGCTCTCAGCCTGCCAAGAGAGGAGCTCAGCTCTCCCCTGAAAGTGTAAAAGTGTGCAGAGCTCTGTGTGGCATGCCGCTTGCACCCTTCTCACAGGTGATCTCGTGAAAATGCTTGCACAGGGTGGGAGGGTTTGGGAGCTTGGGGTGGTTCATGTTTCTTTTTTGAGATATTTTTCTTCAGCATGTTGACAATGAACGGAAATGGAAAATAAAGCCCCGCTGATGTCCAGACGAGCCTTAAGTCCAGATGTGGCGGGGGCGGGTCCCTTCAACATTCATGATGCACTGGGGCCGTAAACATGTCTGCAGTTCTAGCTCCCAGCCCAGCAGCTTCTGTGAGTGGACACGTGCACACAAACATCAGGACCTGTCAGCTACTGGGACACTCAGGTCTTTCAGAAATGACGTCTTTGAAATTTCAAGATGCTGTGCAAGATCCAGGGCATTTAGAACACTGTTTTTAGCCGGCTGTGGAGATCATGCATTTTAAAGTCTAAAACTATAATAAAAGCCATCAGGCAATGAACATTCAATATAGTTTGAGTGACTGTGTAAGTCTTCTCATTTCTGCTCCCAACGAGAGTTGTCCTCCCCCTGTTCAAGATGGCCTGGCTTCCGACCAACCTCATTTCCCCCTCTTGCCATAAGAGTTTCTGGAGAGATTTTGACAAGCCCCCATGTGAAGTCCAGAGCCTTGATGTTTGCAACTTCAGCCCACCAGCCAGGCTAGAGTCCTTGCCCTGTACAGGACTCAGGTCTTCCTGACATGACACATTCCTGGTCAGTCCATGCCAGTGCTTAGAGATCACACTTCCTTTTCTAAAACCATTCCAACCCTCCATCTCCACCGACATCCATCTCCACTGATACTATACCCTTCTCCTTCCCCACTAGGTATGCACAGCTCTGACCTCACTCTCCAGCCCTGTGGCTAAGGCTAGGAGCCCACATCAAGTAATCTGGGGGCTTCTGAAAGGCAGGTCCAGGTCCCCTTCCTATTCTCTAAGATCCCATCAATCTGATGACCACCAGAGACCTGGGCTTAGAGAAAGAAGAAGGTGGTAGAGAATATTGACCAAGTGACCAGTGGCTGTCACCTTTTTGGGCCTTTGATATCAGGACAGACACACGAGCAGAATTATGGCCAGAGTAGAAGGAGGTAGGGGTGGGGGTGGGGGTGGGGGTAGGGGCTCAGCCCCTGCCTGCTGGAAACAGAGTCCCACCTCAGAGCCAGGGCTGAGCTGAGCAGGTGTCCTGAAATCCTGGTGAATATTCAGAGGTCTGTGTCCCCTTGGCTGGCTCCTGCCTATGCAAACAGCCACCTGAAAAGGGGAAGCAGAGGGTGTGGTGGCAGTGGCTGTGTCAGGGGATAGCAGGAGAGGGAAGACAGCCAAGGCTCACTGAGGCTGGTGGAGGGAGCCGCTGCTGGGCCCACCATGGACCGCTGGATGTGGGGGGCCCGAGTTCTCTGCCTGTTAAGCCAGTTATCGACCGTGAGTAGCCAGCTCAGACCCTCCAGCCTCTCCTACTAGGCTCCAGATTTGGGAGTCATGGGGCCAACTGGAGCCTGGCAGAGACCCTATTGCCTTTCTCCCACTCTAAAGTCCCTCTCTACAAGCAGGTGGCAGGCTGTGGGTCCCCCACTCATCTCCCTCTGCCAGGCAGTCTGCTGTGATTCTGGGTAGCGCTATTAAAACAGACTTCCTGTTGCTTCGCCCAGGGCCTGGCTGTGCCCTCTGGGGACAACAGGGACTGTGTCTGCCCGAAAACAGTGCCTCAGAATTGGGGAGGTAAAATTAGGCCCCCTTCTTAGTTCCCCCAGTCTGCTCTTTCTCTCAGCTGTGCATCTGCGATGCTTCCACATGCTCCCCTGGTAAGATTTCTGGACCCCTCAGCCCCATGACTCCCTGAGCCATCTCCAATTTGGTGGTTTCCTTTGAAGAGAGTGCGGCCAGGCAAGGAGTGGAACTTGAGGAGTTGGTGGAGACCAGCTGCTTCTGCTCCAGCAGTTAGGGGATCCATTATCCTCTCGTGATGCTGAGGGCTGCAGAGGCTTTTGGCAACCAAATACTACTCCATGGGCTAGGGCGCTGGAGCACGGAGCATCAGGACAGATAGCCTTTCCCAAATATGCTGCAATTTTCCAGTAACTTTCCACGAGGTTATTGCAAGTGACAGCAGGAACCAGGATGGGAGTCACAAGGTTCTGGGATGGTGGGGGCTGAAGTATTCTTCCTGCGCTGCCTTGTTGGGGTGCTGCTGCCCCTCCTGAACACCTTGCTGCACCTGCTCCCAAGTGCACAGGCTTTGGGCTTGAATCCTGGACCCATGAAACTAGCCGTGTGGCCTGCAAGTCCCTCAGCCTTCCTGAGCCTTGCTTATCTCTTTTGTAAAAAGAGAACGTATCTGCTGGCCAGGTTTGTTGTGCATTGAACGGAATCTCATTTGTCAAGGGCTGGGTAGAGGGGTGCAACACAGGAAACTTTGACTGCCCCCTGGCTGCCATCTGTGTGCTCTGCAGCAAAAGCTTTACTTTTGGCAGGGGGACCCAGGACATGGTGGTGGCCATTCAGCAGATGGTGCTGATACGAAAGCTAGAACTAAATCACTGTTGGCCAGTGTGGGCCCCATACCCTGCAGACACCAGGAAGAGCGGCAGGCACAGATGCAAGGCCTGGGGGGAGCCTCCCCTCAGGAGTGTGTGACTGGAAGCCCCAGGATGTGTTTTGCCAGTCCTGATTGAGCAGGAGCATTTGGATATATCTTGGAATGATCTGTCTTTCCACCCCCACCCCTTCCCTTCCTAGAATCTCCCCTTCCATCTGGCCCTGTGACCACACATCCCGAGTCATTAGTTGGGCTTCCCTAAATTTCCTTCCTTCTCTTAGTGGTGTGGGCATTGTCTAGCTATCCTTTTGGCCCTAGGCTGCTCACATGGCGTCCTTTGCCCTGAGTGGTTCCCCTTGATCGGCTCTGAGAAGGTTCCCAGGCAAAGTTGGGGCTTTCCAGATTGTGTAGCAGGAGGAAGGATAGGCAGAGACCATGGCTCTCTCAACAGCCCAGGGTCAATGTCAGGCTGATGGTGTGAGAAAGTCCCATACAGGCCCGCCTGCCCTCCTGCCCTTCCTTCCCTGCTTTGTGCCCTCAGTCTGTTGGGAGATGTTGGGGAGACTCAATGGGGCTCTGCCCTGAGATGGACCTGGAGCCACTGAGTCCTAGGGAGGAAGACAAGAGCTGAGTCTGGGGTACCAACCAAAATGAGACCTGGAACCTGGGTAGTGGGTGACATCTGCACCCTGAGGCCCTGCAGGGCTAAGCAGGAGATGGCAAAGCTGGGTCCAAGCTGGATTTGGGGGAATGGGGTCAGCAGGGTGGGACAGGAGTGACTTCTGCCAGGGCAGTGCTGATGGCGGTGACCCTCCTTACTGGGCTGGGTCTCAGATCCTCTCCTAGCCCACAGGTCCATGGCAGAGCTCTCAGGTCTCTCCATGTGGTCACCCACTGTCTGCTGTCCTCACTCAGGTGGTCCAAGTCTCTGCTCTCTGACCCCAGCCCATCTTAGGTCTGCTGCACTATTTGCTGTGCCTGCATTTCTCCCAAAGAACATTAGCTGTTAATAAAACATTTGCTGACATGGATCCTGCTGGACATGAGAGAGAGAGAGAGAGAGAGAGAGAGAGAGAGAGAGAGAGAGAGAGAGAGAGAGTGTGTGTGTGTCTGTGTGTCTGTGTGTGGTCATGGGAAGAGAGAGAGAGAGAGAGAGTGTGTGTGTGTGTGGTCATGGGAAGAGAGAGAGAGAGAGAGTGTGTGTGTGTGTGTGTGTGTGTGTGGTCATGGGAAGAGAGAGAGAGAGTGTGTGTGTGTGTGTGTGGTCATGGGAAGAGAGAGAGAGAGAGAGAGTGTGTGTGTGTGTGTGTGGTCATGGGAAGAGAGAGAGAGAGAGAGAGAGTGTGTGTGTGTGTGTGTGGTCATGGGAAGAGAGAGAGAGAGAGTGTGTGTGTGTGTGTGGTCATGGGAAGAGAGAGAGAGAGAGAGAGAGAGTGTGTGTGTGTGTGTGTGGTCATGGGAAGAGAGAGAGAGAGTGTGTGTGTGTGTGTGTGTGTGGTCATGGGAAGAGAGAGAGAGAGAGAGTGTGTGTGTGTGTGTCTGTGTGTGGTCATGGGAAGAGAGAGAGAGAGAGAGAGAGAGAGAGAGTGTGTGTGTGTGTGTGGTCATGGGAAGAGAGAGAGAGAGAGAGAGAGTGTGTGTGTGTCTGTGTGTGGTCATGGGAAGAGAGAGAGAGAGAGAGAGAGTGTGTGTGTGTGTGGTCATGGGAAGAGAGAGAGAGAGTGTGTGTGTGTGTGTGTGTGGTCATGGGGAGAGAGAGAGTGTGTGTGTGTGTGCGTGTGTGTGGTCATGGGAAGAGAGAGAGTGTGTGTGTGTGTGTGTGTGGTCATGGGAAGAGAGAGAGAGAGAGTGTGTGTGTGTGTGGTCATGGGAAGAGAGAGAGAGAGTGTGTGTGTGTGTGTGTGTGGTCATGGGAAGAGAGAGAGAGAGTGTGTGTGTGTGTGTGTGTGTGTGCGTGTGTGTGGTCATGGGAAGAGAGAGAGAGTGTGTGTGTGTGTGTGTGTGGTCATGGGAAGAGAGAGAGAGAGAGAGTGTGTGTGTGTGTGTGTGTGTGTGTGTGTGTGTGGTCATGGGAAGAGACACATTAGTTCTGGGCAGATGCTTCCCAAATACACCTTTTCCCACTTGCCCTGTCTTTGCACATGCTGTTCTTTTGGTTTTAGACACTCTCCCCGTCACTGTGTGTGTCTGGCTTTAAAAATGCTCCTTTGTCCCCAGGTTCAGCTCAAATGTCACCTCTCCAATCCCTGTGAGAGGGGCACTCCCTCCCATGGTACCTGTCTTGCTTCTTTTTGTTTTTTTTGAGACAGAGTCTGGCTTTATCATCCAGGCTGGAGTTCAGTGGCATGATCTAGGCTCACTGCAACATCCGCCTCCCAGGTTCCAGCATTTCTCCCACCTTGGCCTCTTGAGAGCTGGGATTATGGGAGTGTGCCACTACGCCCTGCTAATTTTTGTATTTTTGTAGAGATAGGGTTTTGCCATATTGGTCAGGCTGGTCTGGAACTCCTGAACTCACGTGATCTGCCCACCTTGGCCTCCCAAAGTGCTGGGATTATAGGTGTGAGCCTGTGCCTGGCCCCGGTCCTGGTTTTGATCACAGTTTGCACAGGGTCTATTAGGACCCAGTCCTTCCACCTTTCCCAGCCACTCCTCCCCCATGAGAGCCTGGGGGAACAGAATTCTACACTGGTTGACTTGGATGTGTGTGTTATTCAAAAATATGTATACTGTATACCCAGTTCACAGTGCAGAAAGTATGTCCTTCTATGCATCTGTTTGGGCTCTGGCCTGCTGGGTGATCAGTTTGGTGTTCCTCCAGTTTGGGGCAGTGGGAGGGAGAAGTGCCAGGAATTCCTGCCATTGACTCCCAGTTCCCTGGAGAACTTGTGAAAATGCAAAGCGCTGGATCCACCCTAGATCTCTGCATATTCCTGCCTCTGTCCCAGTGGATCTCTAGTTGGTTCTTGAGGCACACTTTCAGAAATAGTGATAGAAGATGTCCAAAAAAATCCAACTTGTTTCCAGCTTCCAGAGATCATTCCTCACAGCCACTGTGTAGCACAAAATCTGGGAAGCTCCTAAAACCAGTATCTCAGGGCTGCTCAGCCACCAAGGCTATGATCCTTTCACCTACCCATCCACGAACCCACAGCTCTGTCCCTACATAGCTCTCTCACTCATCCACCATGGACCCATCCGCGAGTCATCTGTCTGTCCATCCACCCGTCCATTCATCCATCCACCACCCTCCCAGTCCTATCTCTGTCTTCCGTCTGTCTGTATACTCACCCACTCCACCAGCCAGGTGCCCAGGCAGGCATACCTCTCTCCCTCCCTCCTTTTCTCCCTCTATCCTTCACCTCATTTGTGTGCTCACCTATCCATGTGCTCATTCATTCATCCATCTTCTCTCTCACTAACTTACTCATTTACCCACATGTTCCTGCCCATGTGCACCCCTAAAAGCAGAGGCTGAGACAAAGGTCAGAAATGTAAAGTGGTTTCCAGTGGGATAAATCCAAAGTATTGGCCAAGCTGCACTCCTCTGGAGACTAGAGAAGGATCCATTTGCTTGGCTTTTCCTTGCCTTGGTGTCCTTTCTCCTTCAAAGCCAGCAGTGCGGCACCTTTAAATCTCAGTTCTCACAGTACACATCCTCATGACGCCTCCTCAGATTCTGAGTCTCCTGCCCCTTGCACCCCCTATAAGGAGCCTTGTGATCGGGCCCACTCAGAAAGTCAAGGATGATCTTCCCATCTCAAGACCCTCTGCAATCACATCTGCACAGTCCTTTTGCCGTACAAGGTAAACTATTCACAGGTTCCAGGGACTAGGATGCAGACATCTTTGGGGGCCATGATTCTATTTACCAAACTAGTTTACTCAGAATTGCTTCCAGGGAGCAGGAATGCAGAGCAAGGAGAGTAACACAAGGAAGGAGGAAGGGCCCTGGCAAGAGTGGAGTTGGCTGTCTCTGCAAGGTCTTCAGAAGCACATTATCTTCTGTGTCTCAGAACTTACTTCCATGAGACAGAATGGAGAAACAGTCACTCAAACCTAGGCAGACCCAGGTTTGTGTAATAGCAACTTCCCCTCTTCCAGCGTGACCTCGGGCAAGTCAGTCAACCCTGACCTCCACATCCTGAGCTGTGAACTGGAAAGAGCAAGAGCATTAACTGCGCAGGAGAAGACTAGAGCCAGCCACCAGCCTTCCTTTTTTCCTTCCTTTTGTCCTTCTTGCGATCCTGCCTTCCTTCCTTAGAACGAGAGTATTAATTACAAGGGAGATTATTAGAGCCATCCCTTTCCCTCCCGCTTTTCTCTTCCCCTTCCCTTCCTTGTATTTGAATATCTACTGCACACACCTGAAACTGCTGTGAGCAGGTCTTTGCTTAGGATCAAGACACAGAAATGAATCAGGCCTTGTCCCCATTCTCAGGCCATTTGGACCACAGAGCCTGGAAGGGCACCCAATTGGCCTGGCTCATCCTGTTCACTGTTTCCAGCAGGTATTGGGCCACATGCACCCAGAATGTGACTTCATCACCCAGTTGAGAGAGGAGGAGAGTGCCTGCCTACAGGCAGCAGAGGAGAAGCCCAACACCACCCTGGGTATGGGGCCTGGGAGGCAGGTGGCGGTTTCTCTGATTTTTATGTCCTTCAGCCTTACCTCTTGAATTGTGGGGGCAGCCCTGTGCCTGGACCGAGTCTCCCCTGCTCCTGGCTGTCTATCCAGGCTGCCCTAGGACCTGGGATGGGCTGCTGTGCTGGCCGACGGCAGGCTCTGGCGAGTGGGTCACCCTCCCCTGCCCAGATTTCTTCTCTCACTTCAGCTCAGAGTCAGGTGAGGGGTCTTGGGTGTGGCAGTGGGAAAGGGAGTGGGGTGCCAGGTGAGGGGTCTTGGGTGTGGCAGTGGGAAAGGGAGTGGGGTGCCAGGTGAGGGGTCTTGGGTGTGGCAGTGGGAAAGGGAGTGGGGTGCCAGGTGAGGGGGGGGCAGACACATCACTGGCTTTGGGGGCAGGCAGACCTGGGTTTGTACCAACTTGCCCTCTTCTGGGGTGACCTCGGGCCAGTCAGTTGACCCTGACTTCTGTTTCCTGAGATGTGAACTGGGGGGAGCAAGAGCATGAACTGCACAGGAGAGGATTAGAGTGCGGAGCCTATAAGTGCTGGACCTGGGTGCCCGCCAGGTGTCAGCAGGAGGCAGGCTGCAGGGGGGAGAAGGGCAGGATTGCCTGACTGCTAAGACATTACCAGCTGCCCAGGGCGGGGTGGGTGGGGCACCCGGCTGCTCTGCCTCACCTCCCTGGCCTAGGTGTCTGGACAGTGAGGGTTTTTTTCTCCCCCACTGCCCTTAGGATGCTGGCAGCCCAGCTCACCACTCTCCAGCCCTCAGGGGAATAACCCTCTCTGGGAAGAGATGGTGCCTTTGAAGCCAGAGATAGAAGGCCCCATAGTGTATCCCTGGACAGGCTGGACCAGGGCCCCAGGCCTCTGGAGCCACTGTCTTTGTTGCTGAGAGGAACTGTTCATGTAAGCCTGCCAGGGTCACTTGATGGTCCACGGCACCCCAACCCCTCCTGGGAGGAGGGAAGGAGTTGTGGCTAGAGAGTCTTGCTTGCCTCACAGGGGCTGTGAACCGGGACTGCACCATCACTGGCTGGTCGGAGCCCTTTCCACCTTACCCCGTGGCCTGCCCTGTGCCTCTGGAGATGCTGGCCGAGGAGGTAAGAGGTTCCTGGCATCTTGGAGAAAGGATTGCCATGGACATTTGTATGGGTGGGTGCACAAATGTCGGGGCTGCCATTCCCCGGCCTGCAGGTTGGAATATTACAGTTTTCCAGAGAGGACAGTGACGTGTCTAGAGGAGAAGGAGTCTTTTGCTAAGTTACTCCAGGCTGACCCACCAGCCAAGTTACTTGGAGGGAGAAGTGGGGCAGAGGGCAGGTGGGATATCTGTCGGCTGCTGTCTTGATTCAGTGTCCAAGCCTCCAGGACAGGGAGCTTGGGGTGGTTCCAGAGGAAACAAGGTTCCTGGCAGCCCTGGGGAAGCTCCTTCTCTTCTCGCCCTCAGCCAGTGGAGCAGTGTGCATGGTTGTGGTGTGGGCCAGTGAGGGAAACTCAAGCCTAGAGAGATTTCAAAAAGCTCCTAATACCAGCCAGCACACCCCACACAAAGCTCCTAATACCAGCCAGCACACCCCACCCTTCTGCATCCCTTGGAGCCTTTGCAAGGCAGTCCCACAGGCATCGTCCCTTTTCTCTATCCCTGTGATCTCTGAAAGGTAAAGCATGACTGTAACCATTTATCAGATGCAAAGACTAAGTCAGAGACAGGCAGTGATTGCCTGAGCCCCACAGGAGAGCAGGGATTGGGGCCAGTGCCCGGACCCTACTCCCTTCCTTTGCCTGCACCCTCTATCTTCAGGGCCAGGCTGGACTCTGATTGATCCAAACACTTGGCCACGGAAAGCTTTTGCCTGCCTGGTGTGGCTGTCCCCAGGTGTCCCTGGCTGTCTCCTTTACTTGGGGACATTGTGTTCCCAAGCCCGGTGAGCAAGCTAGATGTCAATAAACAAGCTGATTTCCTCTTGGGCTTTTGTCATTCCCCAGGGACACGTAATTTCTGTGGCTGCCTCTCCCCGCCGCCCCACCCCCAGCATCCTGAGGGCTAAGCATCTCCACTCCTCGCCACCGCCCCTCCCTTATCCGAGGCTCGGGCAGGAAACTAAATCTTCAGCGCATAGGGGGAGCTTTCCATGGTACCTGCAGACACCTCTGCCCCCAGATGGGTAGTGCTGGGGTGGAATGGCAAAGGCTTCACCTGCTTGACTGCCAAGCCTCTCTTTCCCCCCAGGGTACAGAAGCTAAGACTTTCTTCTGTCTCTGCCCTTCCCAGAAATCTTACTTCTCCACGGTGAAGACTATCTACACCATGGGCCATAGCATCTCTATTGTAGCCCTCCTTGTGGCCATCACCATCCTGGTTGCTCTCAGGTTTGCCATCCTCATCACCAGTTCAAGAGCCTTCCTTGGCTCCCTATTTCCCAGAGGGCCAAGTCTGATTTCTTGCCTGGATAGCCATGAAATTCCCAGATCTAAGCACCATATGCATGCCCAACTTTCCCTTCTCTTTTCCCCAGCATGTAGACCCATCTCTTCAAACATCAGAACTCACTCCTACCTCTGCCTCTTTGCTTTTGTGGCACTCCTTGCATTTGCTTGGAATTCCTTATTTTTCCCCAGTGTGTTTATATTTGAGAAACCCAGCTCCTATCTGCATCTAACAATCCTCCACCTCCCACCTGAGTCCCTCTTGACTGTTACAACTCTCTGATCATTGTCCCTTTTAAGTCCCTCACCCCTTCCTCCAGCCTTCAAAGTCTGAGCACCACATCTGGCCTGTGCTGTTCTTGGCCTCATGGGGATGAGTGTCTCTGATCATCCAGGGGTCCCATGGGCAGTACCTGCCATTTCCGCCCCTGTTCCCCCAGACTATGAGCACTGCCAAGGCAGGGACCAGATATTCCTCTCTTTCCACACTTACCCTGAACACAGGAATGGTTGCTCAGCTGTCCTGCAAGGGTTAAACTGAAGCCTCAAGTTCAGCGCAATTCAATTCTGATTGATTGCATTCAATTTGATTTATCTCCTGCCCTGCTCAGCCCAGTCAGCACACCGGAATCCCCTCTCCCTGCTGGCTTCTTGTTCCTCATATCTCCCATTCACACCAGGAGGCTCCACTGTCCCCGGAACTACGTCCACACCCAGCTGTTCACCACCTTTATCCTCAAGGCGGGAGCTGTGTTCCTGAAGGATGCCGCCCTCTTCCACGCCGATGACACTGACCACTGCAGCTTCTCCACTGTAATGGCTGTGGACAGAGGGGCTGGGCTGGTGGGGGAGAGAGGAGATGGGATTACAAACTAAGATGTGCCTGCCCCAGCCTGCCCTGTCCTGTGTGCTGACCCTGGGGCTCCTGCAGGCATGGCCAGTTACAGAATAGGAAACTGCCCCTCTCTCACATCAGATCCTAAGTCCTCACGCCATTCCTGGGAAGGATCGTGGTGTCGATCCATGTAATTTTCCATGTTGCATGCTCTACTCTGCGTTCTCTAGTCTAACCTAGACCACGTTTCACTATGCATAGCCTTTTCCTTTCCTTTGATACCTTCCTGAGCACTCATTGGTCTGTGCTGGGGGTGTGTATACAAGGAGCCGGGAGGAGCTGGGTCCCTCCTTCAGGAAGTGCCCAAGGGACAGAATGCACACAGATTAGAGGACGTCCAAGTGGAGGAAGCTGAGAGTGGAGGGATAATGAGAGGGGGCTTCAGGGAGGAAGGGACCCTGGAGCTATGTTGGCAGCAATGATAAAAAGATGGGGAAGGAGAACCTGTGAAGGGGAGGGAGCCGGGTGAACAAACTCGCAAAGATAGGAGGACCTGGGCCATGTCCAGGAAACTGGGAAGACACCATGGGAGAGGTGGGGTGGAGACAGTAAGAAGCAACTGAAATTAAAGGGAAGCTGGGCAGAACGGGGAGACCCAGCACCCATTAGATTCTCTATAGCTGTGCTGGAAACAGTGAAATCTGCGAGCAAACTAACACATGACCTCAATTAACTGATGAAAGGTTTAATCATACTTCATATTGAACACTTATTTTGTGTGTTTAATATGTGCTTTTCAATAAGTGCTTACCACGTCCAGCTGTCCCTTGAGCAACGTGAGGTTAATGGTGTTGACCCCTCTTTCAGTTGAAAATTCAAGTGTAGCTTTTGACCACCCCCACACCTAACTACAGCTAGCCTGCTGATGACCTGAAGCCTTACCGATAACATGAGTGGCTGATTAACACATATTTATCTGCTACGTGTGTTATATACTACATTCTTTCAGTAAAGTAAGTTAGAGGAAAAATGTTAAGAATATTGTAAGGAAGAAAAAATAAATGTACTGTTTTTAAACGGAAGTAAATCATCATGAAGGTCTTCGTCGTCATCGCCTTTACGTTGAGTAGACGGAGGGGGAGGGGGAAAAGAAGTTGGTCTTGCTGTCTTAGGGGTGGCAGAGATGGAAGAAAATCCACGTGTAAATGGACTTCAGCAGTTCACACTTGTGTTGAGAGGCAGCTGGCATTATCTCATAAATTTTTAAAACAGCTTGAAGAAGAAAGGATCGCTTTCATCCCATTTTGTAGAGGAGAGGCAATTGGCAAGGTCACCCAGTGGCCCAGGGGTGGGGCTGGGACCAAACCTGGCCCAAGTGAACTCAGAGGTGGCCCTGCTCCCACGCCGGCAGGTGGTCAGGTCATGCAGTGAGTGAGTGAATGCATGGGTGCCTGTGTGTGCTTTTGCAAGGCAGAGCTGTGCCTCAGTCACAGCTCTAGGGGTTGACTTCAGCTCAGGTAGGATGGGGCTAAGTGAAAATAGAGGCAAGTCTTAGGCAGAGTTTCTAGTTAATCCTTATGACAAGGACACGAGCTAGGTAGTGGAAGTTTTTCCTTTTACAGATGAAAAGCGAAGGTGTGAGGAGATTTCACAGTAAATAGATGGTAAATTAGAAGCCAGGCAGTCTAGATCCCAAATCTGTGCTCTTCACCCTCACTGTATATCACCATATTCCCTCTCGGGTGGCCCAAGGATCTGGAGTTCCCAGCCTAAGATGGAGGGGCCTGGAGGTTGTTTATCTGAGTGGGGTAGAGGTGACTGGGGTGGGGCTCCAGTGGGTGTCCCAGCTCGGAAGCACCCAAGTTTCATCCCCAGGTTCTATGCAAGGTCTCCGTGGCCACCCTGCATTTCGCCACCATGACCAACTTCAGCTGGCTGTTGGCAGAAGCTGCCTACCTGACCTGCCTCCTGGCCTCTACTTCCCCCAGCTCAAGGAGAACCTTCTGGTGGCTGGTTTTCGCTGGCTGGGGTGAGTGCCCAGGGTGGGTTGGGCACCATGGGAAGGTACTGGGCAGGGAAGGCCCAGGGAGATCACATAAAGGCCCCTCCAGCTAACTCTGAGGCCCAGAGAAGGGGAGGGATGGGCCAGTCCAGCAGCAAGTGTTGGACCGTGGGACCAGGACCCTGGCTCTGGGGTCCTGCCTGGCCCTGCCTTTGTGGTGAGGGAGGTGGGGCCAGGTCTCAGAGCCAAGGATGCAGACCCCCTCACTGGTGTGTCCCCTGTACTCTCATAGGGCTGCCTGTACTCTTCACTGGCACGTGGGTGGGCTGCAAGCTGGCCTTCGAGGACACTGCGTGAGTCGGAGCAGCCGCCTTGTCACACCCACTGGACCTACCTAGGGGTGTGGAGTGGACAGTCAGCCCACAGGCTGTTCTTCCGGCTGGGAAGAGGAGGAGGAAGGACTGCCCGGCGAGGATGGGGGGTGGGAGAACGTTCTGCAGATAGCACAGAAGGGGCATAAACCAGGCAGGAGAGCGCAGCTCAGACTCCCAGGGCTGTGGGGCTGGGGGAAGGTGGGGTGGGAGAGCTGCCAGGGGCCCTCCTGGAAAAAAGGGATGTGTAGGGTCCAGCAAGAAGGCATCAGATACATTTGTCCATCTAGGTGGATAGAAAGGGTGAGCCAAGCCTGGATTGGGGTACCCTTTTGGGTGAGACCCTAACTGGCTGAGACAAGCGAGAAGGCTGGAGGGGAGGTGGGGTGAGGCCAGAAGGCACGAATGCCCGAGGGAGGAGGGAGGTGCATTTGTGCCACTGGGTCATCACAGTGAACGGGACTTTCCAACAATGGCATTCTTGCCGCTCTCCCCAGGTGCTGGGACCTGGACAACAGCTCCCCCTACTGGTGGATCATCAAAGGGCCCATCGTCCTCTCTGTTGGGGTCAGTCCCTGGGCCATGGTTCTTGGCTTTAACCAGTCAACCTCTCTGGATCTACCGAGGGGCTGTGCACAGCAGGAAATGCAACTCCAGGCTGGGAGTCTTGAAAACAGAGCTCCAGCCTTGCTCTGCTACTGATTCTCTGTGAGGCCCTCTCTGGGCCTCAGTATTGCATTAGTAAAGCCAGAGGAGTGGTGGTTTCCACCAGCATGCAGGCTGTTCCAGCTCAATTTTGATGAGTCTACTGCGCTGGTTGCAGCTCATTTACCACTGCAGTGAGAGGTTGGGGCGTGGGTGGGGCACTAAATAGACCACACAGCTAAACCCCTCCCCCTCCGTCTGCTCCCACACACAACACAGAGGCAGTTAAGACTGCTTTGCATGGCTTTGGTAAATGTACAAATGTTTTGCAACTTAGCAACTGTGTGAAGTGAGGGACATCTGGTTTGTGCTAGAGAAGAGCCTGGGAGGTGGCCGGAGGTAGGTGGCAAGACCTGATTGCCCCTCCTTGATGCCAGAACTGGAGAGGGACAGGAGTCCTGGGCTCTCCTCTGTCCTCTAAGGCTCAAATGTGGGACCTCCCAGCTCCAGGCCACCAGTTCTGGAGCAATGATCTGTGTGTTCATCTACCTGCATGGATTTAAATTTTCTGGTCCCCAGATGGGCTGGAGCTCACCCCAGCCACCCAAGAATGATACCCTTGACCCTTGTCTTCCATCTTCCTATACCTCTATTTCCAGGTGAACTTTGGGCTTTTTCTCAATATTATCCGCATCCTGCTGAGGAAACTGGAGTCAGCTCAGGGCAGCCTCCATACCCATTCTCAGTATTGGTACTGTGTGTGTGTGTGTATGTGTGTGTCTGGGGACACTGGAAAAGGGTAACTGGAGGGGGATTCAATGTGGTGCTTCTATCTCTTCCAACAGGCATTCGTGACCTCAGCCCCGTACTCTTCCCTATGTTCTCAGAGACAGAATAGACCTGGCCCCTTCCTTCTAGAGTATCACAATATTGGAAGGATGGGCACTTCACACAGCCAGTTCCCATGCCAAATAGAATGATGAGTGCTAAGACAAATTTCTGTGGGAACCTGGGGAGAGAGATCCTTTCTAGGTGAAGGGTGATGTGGTCAAAGAAGGCTTCCTGGAGGAAGTGGTTTTGATCCCCACTGTGAAAGATGCATAGACTTTGGGATAAACTGGGGCAGTAACACTTGGCAGGGGAATCAGCAGGACCCTGGGCCCAGAAATGAAAAAGCCCAGGGTGAGTGTGGGGAGGTGGCGTTTCCCAGGGTGGCTGGTTTGCAGAGTGGATATAGGGAGGTGGTAGGAAGTGAGAAAAGACGAAGTGCACATGACAGTTTCTAATCCCAGCCTTGGGAGCCTAGGATTTGTCTTTCCTGCAGGCGTCTCTCCAAGTCGACACTTTTCCTTATCCCACTCTTTGGAATTCACTACATCATCTTCAACTTCCTGCCTGACAACACCGGCCTGGGCATCCGCCTCCCCCTGGAGCTGGGACTGGGCTCCTTCCAGGTGAGGACTCCGCAGGCACCCTTTCTCTCCATGGGAGGTGCTGAGGGAGCTGCTGTTGCCCACAGGACTTAGCTGAGTTCATGACAGGGTGAGGGCTATTCTTTTTCATCCATCTATTCAACTATCTGTCTATCTGTCCATCTTCCAGCCACCTATCTCTCTATTTATTTAACTACCTACCCATGCATTCATCTACCCACCCATCCATGATCCATCCATCCACCCACTAATCCATCCATCATCCACCCATCCATCCACCCACCCACCCATCTATCCATTCATCCATCCACCTACCCATCCACCCCACCCACCCATCCATCCATCCAATCTATTCAGCTCCTACTGATCCCCTATTATGTGCCAAATGCTGTGCTCATCCATAAGGGTTGCAGAAATAAAGTCAGGGAAATGAGGCCAACAGTTCAGCCCTGGCAGGCTTGCTGTAACAATTCTATGAGACAATATTCCTGGCACACAGTAAGTAATGAATGCATCAAAATTCCCCTTTCAACCAGACCTGGCCCAAGCCATAGCCTGGGGGTGAGTAGGGAAACAGCAGCAGAAAGACTGTGGACACCTTGAGGCCAGGCCAAAGTGTTCTGATGGGGTCTTTCCTCTTTGGCCCCACAGGGCTTCATCGTTGCCATCCTCTACTGCTTCCTCAACCAAGAGGTGTGTGACTTTCAAGGATATCCCTCATGGAGTCCCCCTCCCACCAGACCTAAGGCCCCTCCTTCTCTCTCCCACTCAGGCCCTGTAAACCCCAGCTCGGGCCACACCTTCACTCCTGTGAGCCTTTGTGGTAGTCTGTCCTGAGCTTCTGGATCAAGCTGAACCTGAATCCTTCCTGTAAACATCTCTTATCTATCCCTTCTCTGTGGTGGGCCAAGTTCTACTAGCCACTCTTCAGGAGATGGAGGAGGCCTGTCAGGGATCAGGAGCGGGATTAGGGTAGGGAGTCAGAAGGAATCCCCCAATTCTGTTTTCTAAAATTGAACCTAAAGGGAGAGTCGGGGAGGGAGCATGCCAGCTGAAGGAGAGACGATCAGAGAGAATGGATAGAGGAACCAAGAAAGTCAGAGGAGAACATACAGGAACTAGGGTAATAATCAGATGCAGAGACAAAGAGGAAGATCTGGAGCCCGGGAAACAGAGCACGTAAAGGAAACAGACACGCAAAGAGAATGGATGGAAGAGGAGATAGACCTGAAAAGACAGAACAGATGGTGCTGCTGCACATGTGGACACGTGGGAAGATGCCAGAGACTGGCTCGAAGTGAATTCCACCCAGGAGACACTGTGAATTTCCGAATCTCCCCCTTAGGACAGTCTTGCTCTGGGGAGAGGGGCTGGGGAGAATTGATGTCAATGCCCTAGACTCCCAAGTTCCACTTCTGTGCACCTGCAGGCCCCTGCACTCCCTCTGCTGGCCATGGATTTGCCATGGGCTCTGCATTGTGCGAGACCTGGCTGCAGGTGCCCTGTGTCCCTCACTGTGGAGTGTTGCTCCTGGCTCCCATCTCATCTCTCACCTCTGTCCCTGACTGCTCCTTCTCCTCTCCCTCTCTTCACTCCTCACCAGGCCTCTCCAAGTCCCATGCAGCCTTATCTGGTGTTTGTGTGTAGCAAACCATGGGCCCTGGGGGTCCTGGGTGGGGCAAGCAGCAGCCCAGGCTGAGGCTGGTGGGGTGTGGAAAACGTGTTTCCACAGAGAGTAGTGAAGGGAGCTGTCTTAGGAAGCAGTGTTGGAGACCAGGTGGTTACATACTTCTGGTGACGGGGAGCTTACTACCCTGCAATAGCTCTTTCTGTTGGCAGGCAGCTGTGTTCCCGCATAGATTGTCTCTATGTTAGACAGATATCTGATTCCTTTCATCTTTCACAACTCTAGTTCCACTCTACTGCATGGGGCAGTCTGTCAGCACCCTGTGCCCCTAAAAGCCCCTTGGAGATGTGAAGATACAGACAGCGCCCCCTCCAATCCTACCCTTCCACCTTGCCCCAGGCTACTTTTCTTTCAGCTCCTTTCAGTTCCCTCAACTGAAGCCCCACAGACAGAGTTCTGAATCTTCTCTCCCTTCAGGTGATGTCCTCTGGACAGGTTTCCAGTGGCCAGAGTTGAGCTCACAAAACTGAGCCCCAGAGCAAGGAGTGGTCTAAGTGATTCAGAGAGAACAGGGTGGTTATTTGGCCAGGAACTCAAGAAAGCACCCATAAATGCCTTTAACTGGGCTCAGACAAAGGCAGGGCTAAAAGGCAGAGAGAGGGGCTGAAAGAATAGCGAGAAATACTCACAGGAAGGAGGAAGTAGTATCCTCCAGAGGTAGTACTTAGCAGTGCCTGTGGCCAAGCATGGCTTTTCCTGCCCTGTGTCTCTGTTTCTCTTACACGGCCTCTCCCTGCACCTCAGACTCATTGGGGTTGAGTAGCAAAGCCCCAGGGGGACCTTCCTAACATCCTCTTCCTTGTCCCTGGAGGTGAGGACTGAGATCTCACGGAAGTGGCATGGCCATGATCCTGAGCTCCTGCCAGCCCGGAGGACCCGCGCTCAGTGGACCACGCCTTCCCGCTCGGCAGCGAAAGTGCTGACATCTATGTGCTAGGCTGCCCCATCATACCCCTGGAGTCCACACTTGAACTTGGCAGCTATTATGGGTCCACCACACTCTGGAGGAGGAAAGGGGCCCCTGGGGACCTTCAAGCCACAGCCCCATCTCAGCCCGGGACAGGGGCAGCCCTTCCTCCCTGTCTCTGCCTCTGACTCTCTTTTGAGGTCTGCCTCTGACTTCTGTGGTCCCTGTGTATCTGCTCTCATCCAATTCCTCTTCCTGGGGCCTGGGGCTTTAGCCCAAGGCTCAGAGGAGCCAATAAACCTGTAAATGAATAGACGCATGTTTGAGTGAGTAAATGACCTCTAAAGGGGAGCGCACCTGCATTCTTTATTGTGGCGGCTGGTGCTGAGCTGCGCTCATCGTTCCTCAGTTCATGTACGTTATGATTATTTATCTGTGCAAAGGGCCTCTTGTTTTATTTTTCTTAAACTGTGCTCTCTTTTGTCTTCATCACTGCTCCCATTCCCCTCCTCTCACAGGCAAACAAGCAAGCATGTTTAATGTGAATACCTCTGTTTCTGGGTGTCCTGCCAATACGTGGCGTTTTGTGTGTTTGTACTTTAATTTACATCAATGCTGTTGGTCATTTGCCTCATCCTGCTTCTACCATTTCCCGCACTCAGCACTGTGCTTTTAAGAGATGCTCTTGGGCCGTATGCATTGACTCAGGTCTGTAATCTCAGCCCGAGGTGGGTGGTTCATTTGAGGTCATGAGTTCAAGACCAGCCTGACCAACATAGTGAGACCCTGTCTCTACTAAAAATATAAAAAATTAGCTGGGCGTGGTGGCAGGTGCCTGTAGTCCCATTTACTCCAGAGGCTGAGGCATGAGAATTGCTTGAACCCAGGAGGTGGAGGATGCAGTGGGCCAAGATTGCACCTTTCACTCCAGCCTGGGCAACAAGAGCAAAACTCTATCTCAAAAAAAAAAAAAAAGAAAGATGCTCTTGTGTTGCCCTGCGCACACCTGATCCATCGTTTTGGCTGCATGTGGAGCTGTGTGGAGTCACTGCGCACGTCTTCCTGTCCTGTCTCCCCCAGGCTCTAGTGAACACGCACCTGCCGGTTCCCTCCTGGACCTGTGAGAGTGAGCCTCTGTCCAGGACTCACATCCAGGAGGGGCAGTGCTGGGTGTCCGTCATGATTAGGTGATGCCAGCTTGCATGCTTCAGATCCGCACTACCACCAGCAGCTCTTGAGCCTCCTAAATCCCACAGCCCCACCAACATTTGGCATTACACAGCTTTTTAATGTTCGCCACCCAAATGGGTGTAAAGTACCATGGCACTGTTGTCTGACAGCTAATGGGTGTAAACGTCTCTTGCTGTGCATGCTTGGCCTTGGGTTTCTTCTGAAAATTGCTTGAGTCTCTTTCCTTCTTTTTCTCTGGTGGAGATGCCTGAACTCCAGGTCTTTCTCTTATGTCCTCCCCATTGTGTGCCCTCTTGGGTCCCAGTGTACTGCCTGCTGTCTCCCACCTAAGTGAGGACTCTCTTAATGTAACACATCTGTAGAGTCTGTCCCTCTTCCACCCTCCTTCTTGGCAGCGGGGAGGAGAAGGAGACCTGGGCTCTGTCTGTGGGGACCTGTTATTGACTGATGGTGGTGGAGGGAGTTTCCAATACAGAGAACAGGCAGAAATGGACACTTTCAGGTTGGAGTGAAACCTCTCCCTTCTTGGTCTACCCACAACAGACCTGTCCTGCAGAACTCAATTCAATTTCCCCCACTTCCAGGAAGCCTTCCCTTACTACGTTAGCCTTTCTGGCCATTCCTCCTTTCTCTGACTACCATGAGAGTCCAAACCTTCCCCTCCCGCCTCTGCCTACCTGGGCTGATCACCAGGTGCCTTTTGCCTGTCCTGGCCCTTGTCTGGGAGCCTCCCTTCTCTGTGATCCCTGCATGCTGGCCCTGTCCTCTGCACGGAGGATCTAGCTTGTCCTCCATGGCCTGCCTGGACCAGGTTTCTTTTTCTCATGCACTGGGAGCAGAAGGAGTAGGCATCCCTCACCCGTGCTGGCGCACAAATGTGCCTCTGGTGGAGGCAGCGGATGGGCAGCCTCTTCCCTTACAGTCGTGAGAGTTCCAGGGAATGGAGACACAGCTACGTGAAGCCCAAGGTCACACTGTCGCCCATGCCACCTGGCTGCCTGGCACCTTCCTAGTCAGACAAATGTCTAAGTGCGGGCCCAGTCTGAAAACCCATCATGCATTCCTTCCTTCACTGTCAAACCTTGAAAGTAATTCATATTCATGGCAGACATTTAGGAGGTATAGAAGGATTTTTTTTTTAAACTCGATCATAATCTTATTACCCAGACATTCACCAGTAATACTTTTGTATGTTCCTGGAAAGATTTTTTTTTCTCTGTGCTTTGGAAACATCTTGAGATCATATATTTATAAAATTGCATATGATTTGTATGCACAAAAACAATATATATTATATACAGATGGCTAATAAGCACATGAAAAGATGTCAGTATCATTAGTCTTTAGGTAAATTAAAACCACAATGAAATATTGTTTCACATCCATGAGGATGGCTAAAAAGAAAACAAAATAGCCAATAACAAAAATTGGCAAGAATGTGTGGAAATCATACATTGCTGGTGGGACTGTAGAATCATCAGGCGCTTTGCTAAAAAGATGCACAGTTGTTCACAAAGTCGAACACTGAATTATTCAGAAAATCCACTCCTAGGTACATAGGCAAGGGAATTGAAAATGTACATCGACACAAAGCTTGTACGGGAATATTCATAACATCATTATTCATAGCAGCCAAGAAGTGGAAATAACCTACACATCCACCAACTTATGAACGAATTAGCAAAATGTGGAGTATTTATATGCTGCGATGGTAGCTCCATCTTTTCTGTTTGAGGTAATAAAAAGTTCTAAAATTAGTGATGATGGCTGCAATCTCTGGGAATACGTGAAAACCACTGACTCATACACTTGAACAGGGTGAATGTTACGGTACATGAATTATCTCAATAAAGCAGTTATTAAAAATGAGTAAATGGGGGTTTGCTGGAGAACACAGACAATTTTTCTGCTACATAGTTTGAAAAGTGTATATAATATTATTTATTTAGCCAATAGATATTTAACATATTGGTGAAAGTTTCTTTCAATTTTAAAAGTCAATACGTATGATGGTAAACTTCCTTGCATACTTTTTTCCATGTACACCTTAAAAAGACACAAATTTAAACTCCTAGACCTTCAGAATAAATTCTCCTAACGTGGAAGAATGTTTGAACCAATGCAATGCACATAAGTCTTTTAGTACCTGTTGGCAAATTGCCTCCCAGAAAATTGGTCTAGAGAATTCTTGCACAAACAAGATAAGTGTGGTGGTTTTTCTGCATTGCTATTATATTTTGAGATGGGGTCTCACGCTGTAGGCCAGGCCGGAGAGTAGTGAGGCCATCCAGCTCACTGCTGCTCAACCTTCCAGGCTCAAGTGATCCTTCTGCCTCAGCCTTCCCAAGCAGCTGGAAATACAGGCATGTACCACTATACCAGCTATTTTTAAATGTTTTTGTAGAAATCGGTGTCGGTATATTGCCCAGTCTGGTCTCAAACTCCCGGGGCTCAAGCAATCATCCTGCCTCAGTCTCCCAAAGTGCTGGAATTACAGGCATGAGCCTCTGCCCGGCTGGCATTATTGTTTCTCTGCGTTTTAACTGGTGTTAGCAGTAGTAATGGTGTTAGCACAGTGGTGATAGTTAGCAGTTAGTGTTAGCTTGGTTAGTGCTCATTTAGTTGTGATTAATTTTAGTGGTTAGCCGTAGGTAGAGTTAGTGGCTAGTTAGTGGTTAGCATTAGTTACGGTTAGTAGTTTGTGTTAATGATTAGTTACCAGTTAGTTCAGCAGTTAGCTGTTAGTAAACATAATTTAGTGGTTAGTGTTACTGGTTAGTTAGCAGTTAGTGGTAGTAAGTGGAAGTTAGTGTGAGTGGTTGGTGTTAGTTAATGTCAGTAGTGGCTAGTTGGCCGTCAGCGTTGGCAGTGTGTGGTATTGGCAGCGGATAGAAGCCGCTCCCTCTGTGAATTGTCCACCCCTCGCCTAGAGGGTTCACAATGGCTGCAAGTTCACCCCTTGCTCCCTTTTAGTTTCAACTGGAGCCTCAAACTCCTGTCCTTTTTGTCTCTTCCATAACAGGGATCCGCAGACTGGGCCTAGGATGCAGGTTCCTGGGCAGATCCCTTGACTGGCAAGCTTTTCCTCTCTCAGGACTCCAGCTTCCACATCTGAGCGGGAAGGGGAGCGGGTTGCTCAGCAGGCCACCTCTGAGGGAGTCTCACCAGGGACACCGGATGGCTGACAAGGAGCGGGGCTGAGAAGCGCAATGCTGATCGCGGCCACCAGGTGGCAGTCTAACTGCAGCCAAGAGCCCTGGCTAGGTCGGCGGTGCTGCCTGCGGGAGCTGATGCATGGACACAGGACTCCAGTGGCCTGCCTGGGGTTCAGCAAGCCAAAGCGGCTTAGGTGGGAGGGAGGGTCCCTGCAGGGGTGTGGAGGAGCAAGACATCCCCTCTTCCCCCTCCCCTAGCAGGCCCCAGTGTTGATGAATAAGAAGTAGATTAAGAAGAGGGAGAACTGAAGAGACAGGAGAATCAGGGCCCACTAGACCAGCGTAAGATCCAGAGCACAGGGCCTTTCCTGGGATCCAGAGCTTCTGGGATGTGGAAGCTCTGAGGACCAGGTGTGGGTGTGGGCAGGAGCAGTCAGGGAAGGCTTCCTGGACGAGGGAACTTAGGCAGGGGGTGTAGACAATAGAGCCCCACCAGGCCAGGCTGCACAGTGGTCCCTTCCCACCATCTGCTGGGCAGGAAGTGGAATGGGGCTGATCTCAGTTTAGAGAGCAACACTTGGAAGAAGGTTCAGGTAGGAGGGTGGGGTCTGGTCCAGGCTTCGTCATTCATGAACATTCCTGCTAGGGCTCTGGATCTGCAGGGCAGACGGTGTGGTGAGTGTTCACTGAGAACCTGGGGGACAGGCTCCTTGCTAGAGTCTGAAAATACAGCTACAAGCAACTCCCAAATGTTCCTCTCTGCAAGGGGCTGAGGGTCTGGTTGGCAATGGCCAATTTTACATGTCAGCATGACTTGACCACCGGATGCCCAGGTATTTGACATCCGATGAGTCATTGCTTGTGGGTGTGTCTGCGGTGGTACTTCTGGGAGGGCTTAGCATTTGAACTGGCAGACTGAGGAAAGTGATGGCCCTCACCAGTGAGCAG